GTCCACTAGACATCCAAGTGGAGAGTTTGAAAAGGCATTTGGGTATTCAGTGGAACTTGGCTGGAGGTGGATATCTGGGTTCATTGGCAGATAGATGGTTTTTAAGACACAGGAAGGAATGAGATAATCAAGGGAGTGAATGAAAGAAAAATGAAGAGAAAAGATCAAAAGCTTTGGGGCAGTCTAATGTTAGACTCAGCCTAAGAGATTAGGAGGGGACTAGAAAGCAGCAAAGGAGACTGAGAAGAAGGAAGACCGAGAGAACATAGTATCAAATGCCATTGAGAGGTCAGGTAAGATGATGTACGCTTGGCCATCGGCTGTAGTGCTGTGTAGGTCACTGGTGACCCTGACGAGAAGTTTTTAGAAAGGGAGAAAACTTGACTAGAATGAGTTAAGAGAAAAAGGGAGGGGAAGAATGGGAACCAGCAAGTAAAGATTACTCATTTCTAGATTTTACCATACATGGGGAACAAAGCTGATGGAAGAAATAAGTTCAGGAGTAGTTTTTGTTTTGTTTTATTTTTAGTGATGAAGTAACAGCATATTTGTATGCTGATGGGAATGATCCAGCACAGAACAGAAAAAAAAACAAAAGGTGCTGTAGGAGAGGGAACGATAATTTTAAAAAATCTAAATTTGAATACCTCTGCATGGAGTTTTGGCACAGCATTTTGCCACAATCTATAGCATATTCTGACCCACGTCGCTCATTTGTGTAACCTACATTTGACTGCATCCTTGGTCTGGATAGATACAGATATCTGTGAGATTCTAAAACAGCACTGGCACAAATTGATAAGAATGTAAATTAGACCCATTCCTGCAAAGGTAGACAGAGCCGCCAAGTGCTAATGTATCATCTTTCTGAGGAGTGTTTTTGGCAATTTGTTCATACAGACAGCCCCAGATGAAAACTGACAGAAGTAGCTAAAACGTAAAAGCCTAATAATACATAATGTAGTGCAGATTTTTTGGGACTCTATAATTTGTTTCATTTTAGTCCAAAGAAATCGAACTTCAGATGCTCTTTGGAAAATGCATGGTCTCTGGGTACAGGCAAAGGAAGAAGTAGCTAAATCAGGGGTGAGAGATGGAACAGCAGTGGAAACGCAGATGAGTGTTGGCCCGCACTTGGACGAACTGTGTCTCCAGGACAGGAATGAGATGTTTACCACTGGAGTACCAGTGTATCTGTAGTCCAAAGACTGAGTAATGGTAGTGTCCAAATCAGAGAAAGGCAAGTAACTAGTGCATGAATCTAGGCTAGGAAGGTCAGCTTTTGTGAGAGGAAAGGAAACTAGTATGTACTGATAACTGTGCTTGATATCTTATTCTTATCTATCCTATTCTACCCTGGAAGGGTGGTCTATAGGGACTAAATGTGGCAGCCTGCTTCCATGATGGCTCAAGGTGCCTCACCTCTTGGTATTCTTCCTCACCACCTTGCATCTGGAAAAGTCATCTTTTGAGTTTGAGTTAACATGCTTCCAAGCCCCCTGGCTTTTGGCTGGATCACACCCATGGGCAGCCCTGGAAGGACGTTGTGGTGTGGTTTCCCTGACCTGACTGCCCCTCAACAGCAGATCACTGCTCCTGTCTAAGTGGTCTCTGTTCTGCTTCACTCTGTCTCACTTTCTTGGTCCTTTTGGACCTACGGATGGTGACAGTGCCACTATTGCCGGACCCAGTAGCCTACACATCCATTGCAGTTCCTTTTTTCCATCCGTACCTTTGTGATTAGTTCCTGTGTAAGTAAATCCTTTAAAAATTATTTCATTCTGATTTAAATATGTCATGGTTTGTATTGGCACCTGACTGATATGGTAATTGGTATCAGAATTGGCTCTAGGAAACAGAGTCAAAATTGGATCTGGAATTTATTTGGTCATATTTTAGAGGTCCAGATATCGCTGGGAAAAATAAGTTGTCATTGGTGGTAGCCTGGAATAAAGGGCAATATTCTAGCTGTGTGGAACTTCTGAGAGTCCAAATATCAGAATCATAGCACAGATCTCCAGGAATTTGGAGTACTTTCTTGGCCCTGTGCTGCTAACTAGTTTTGATTTGAAAAGTAGCTCTGGCTTGCTATTGGGGAAAACTAAATGCTCAGCCATGGATCATGAAATATTTTTGTGATCCCAACTCCCTATCATGAGCTGAGTATTATCTGATTCACTGAACTATAAAATGGGGCATGGATAGCAGTGATCCTTCATCATATGGAAGTGGTGTCTGTGAATGTGGGCCCCAGTAGATCCAGAAGGCTCAAGGAAGCTTCATGAACAGGTGCCTTATCGTCACATAGTACTTGTTCTTTCTGCTTCTCCTTCAGCCCACACCAGAAGTCAAGAGACATGCAGAAGCCTGCATGTCTATCTGATTTGCAGATAGACATGCATCCTGGGCCCATGTGAGTGGGAAATAAGCAACCATTGTGCTACAGTCCCATTCAGTGGTAGCCTGAAAATTAGTGTTCAGATAAAAACCTTCCAGAACTTCAAAAAAGTAGATCTGTTTTTTTCACTTCAACAGGGAAAGATAGCCTGAAGTATTGATCTACATTGGCTCATGGGCAATGGCAGAAAAGTTGGTCTGCTGGGTGGGAATGTGGAAAGAACAAGATTAGGAGATTGGTAACAAGATCTGGGGGAGAGGAATATGGCTGAAGCTCTTGGAATGGGGACTGAATGGGCAGACATAACCAGAGGTCCCCAAGACGATCTGTTCTGTGGAGTCACCCTTTTCTCAGTGTCAGTGGTGCTTGCTCAGTGGTTCTCTGAATACTCTTACCATGTGTCCTGTAATTCAGAAGCAGCTGGTTCAATAGGGCAGAGGAATGGTCTGCTTAAGGCTCAATTAATATGATATCTGACTGCCCTCTGGCCATTTTGGGATTTCTTGTATCACTGAATACACTGACAACAGCTTGCATAACTGGAGTGGTGTCCTACAGGAAGTGATAGCTGTCTTAAGCCTGCAGCAAATACGTCACCAAGAAGCATGAGTCTGGGAACAAAGGAGTGGGGATTGGAGTGCCCCCTTTCACCATTTCACCTAATAAGCTGAAGGAATATTGTTCTCTTTCCCTGTGACATTGCATTTAGTGGGTTTGGATGTTCCAGTGCCCAAGAGAAGAATCATTTTCTTAGGGAATATTGGAAGTCAAGATTGCCCTCTGGCCATTTTGGGATTCCTTGTATCACTGAATTCATAGGTACAGAAAGGGAGGATACCTGGAATGAGTATCCTGATTACCAGGAAGATTGAGTTGGTTCTTCACAATGAGGACAAAGAGGACTCTGAAACACGAGGAATTCACTAACCTCATTTCCTAATATCCATTATAGTCCTGGTCAGTGGGAAATTGTAACAACTCCATAGAGACAAAACCAACTTTTGACCCAAACCCCACAGGAATGAGCATTGGGCTATTACACGAGATAAAGAACCTCCTCCAGCCAAGGTGTTGCAGAGGTGAGGGGAACATAGAGTGTAGGGTGGGAGAGGGCATCTGTGATCAGCAGGTCAGGACTCAGGACAGCTACAGAGGTGGGGAGCGTAGCAGCTATGTTTTATGCCACTCTTTTCTCATTTCCTTCTTATCTTACCTAAAGAATCCTAATGGTGGTTATTGTACTAGGTTTCAGGTGGAAGTATGACCAAATTGACATCATCTCATGATAATATGGTAGCTGATTGGACTCTGTTACATCCCCTGTTTGGGTGGCATAAAGTGGATCTGTTGGGTACATTGTACCTGGTGTCTTCTGTTTGCACCCCTCTTCTATGTTCAAGGGACTTTAGAGATGATATCTCATGTAATCTTCTCAAAAACCCTATAATAGTAGGTCTCCTTGACTACTCTTTTGCTATATACCTGGCATTGTTCTAGTTCTTTACATGAACTGATTCAATTAATCCTTACAGTAGCCTTACATGCTAACTAACTATCCTATTATTACCGTCTTACTGATGAGGAAACAAGCATGTAATGCTTACATAATTTCCCCAGACTCATAAAGTTAGACATTGATCTCTGCCTTGTAAGGCTTCTCAGGACGTTATCTTTTTTTTACATATAGGAAAGCAAAGACTTAAAGAAGTAAAGGGACTTATCCCAAGTATAGTTAGCCCCAAAGCTAGGCTTCAAACCCAGATCTGTCTCAGAGTTAATGCTCAAGTCTAATGTACTCTGCTTCCTTAATTATACATCATTTTTAGGTGTCAATATGAGAAAGGGTTGACTGTGAAATGCAGATTCTAAGAACATAAAGCATCCTTTTGATAAATTCAAAATTTATGGTTTTAAGAAAAGGCAAATCATCTAACTTACATGAAATAAAGATTAAATCTGACAGTGAAAGTGTAAGCATGACCCAGATGTACTAGCTAGCTAGTTCTTTCTTTAAATATTCAGCTTACATTTGGTCTCAATCCATATGTAAGAAATTTGAGAGCCAAAAATTACATTTGTATATAATGTATAAAATATAAAAATAAATACATTAAAGCATATTTATATAAAAATATATATTATTAAATATATATGTTACTTTATATAAATATACAAAATATTTATATTTGAAAGAAATGTGACAGACCTAATTCAAAAGCCCTGTGAACAGATTTCTTAGGAGAATATTGTTTTTGAAGTCATATTCTTTTGTATGTTTTTAGCTGACATTAGCCCTGATCAAGGTAAAGTAGAATATAATGGTCATTTATCATTCGCAGACTGAGGAAATGTGTAAACCAGACCTGGGGAGAAGAGCCTGAGAAGGGAAACCACATTGACCGGGGTGCCAGTAACTTATTTTAGTGACAGTGTTTCATCTTCCCCTGGTTAAGCAGGGCACGGTTAAGAGTTTGCATATGTTTTATAAGTCACAGTCACCCCCATTCGTGGGGATTTCTGCCTTTGGTATCACCACCAGCCCCATTGATCCGATGTCCTGCACTTACGGCTTCCTAACAGTTGACAATGACCTGCTTTTCAGATAATACCATCCAGTCTATTTTCTGTTGCTGCTGTCGCTGTTCCATGCAGAAGCGGTAAGTCTACTGCCAGGGGCAACTTCTTGGAAGTTAGTTCATTCAGTTCCTTTATTGTCTATTGAGTTCCCATGTCTCTTTGTATCTGCTGCTCCCTCTGCCTGGAAAATCCTTCTCCCATTTTCTCCCTGCTGAGTGCCCATCATTCAAAGGCCTAATGTCAGTCTTCAGGGATCTTACTGATCCTCTTGGCTTTAACTACCCCTTCCATTGTGCTCCCAAAGCACGTGGCTTGCTACTCTATTTAATGTTTATTTCATGCATACTGTTTGTAAGTCTGTGCTCCTCTCTGTAATTTTATTTATTTATTTATTAAATTTTTAAACATATGGAACGCTTCACGAATTTGTGTGTCATCCTTGTGCAGGGGCCATGCTAATCTTCTCTGTATTGTTCCAATTTTAGTGTATGTGCTGCTGAAGCAAGCACTGTAATTTTTACCCTTTAAGAGCAAGAATCCCATCTTGTTTATTTGACATTCCTGAAAACTATCAGTGTGTCTTACACTTTGGTGCCCAGCAAATGAAGTATAAGAACAAGCTGATGCACTATGATAATTGTAACAGCTGGTTTTTCATTGGAATGTCCTGTATGTCAGGCTGTGCTAAGAGGTTGTGTTTACTAGTTCAAGTAACTCTCAAACCACCTATGATTTCTTATAATCCCCATTTTGTGAATGAGAAAACTGAGGCTTAGTGAGGTTACATTGCTTACCCAAGGCCACAGTATGAAATGATAGAGCCGGGCTTCAAACTCATGTTCTTAATCACTACAGCATGTCCTTTATCACAATAGATACCATCAAATGAGGCAATGCATGTAAAATGATAAACTCTGTGCCTGACATTAAGTTTTTCATTATCGTAATTATAATTTTATGCCCTTAATCTACACCACATTCTGTATGAGCATGTGACATGTGTTCTCTATTTTATCTCATAACAACTCTGCTTGTTCTTAGCATCTCTGGTTCCCAGATGAGAAAAGTTAAGTTCTGAGAGGTAGGAACTTGCCTGAGAAAATGGAGTTAGAAAGGCTTTAACTACCCCTTCCATTGTGCTTCCATTATTCCAGGGGCCAATAAAAAAATAGTTGGAGGAAGTCCCAGATTCTTCTACTAGTTTAGTGAAAATCTAGTGGATTTCTAGATAACCTGAATACAAATAATCATTGTAACATGATTGTTTTTCAATGTCAGACAAGTGAGAACACAAATAAGCCTGAGTAAAGAAGAAGAACTTTCAGAAAAATACACTCAGCATCGCAGGGCATGGTTCAGAGAACTGCCAAGTAAGAAGCAAGTGAGTATCATTTTGATGGGGAGGGAGACAGAGGAAGATTGGGGTTTTAGGGTCCCCTTTCTAGGAGGTACTGTTTGCTGCTGTGCCCAGAACCTATACTGTGTTGGGTACATAATAAGTGCTCAATAAACATGTGGAGAATGAGTGTCCTAGAAGAAAGCAAAAGAAAAGACAAGACAGCTAAAATAGCTGATTCTGCTATATATTTGGGCTGGTGGTGTAGTGGGGAAAAACTTGAAACTGGACAGTGAATGGGGGAAAAAATGTACTCTGTCTACTGCCATTTTGAGCCCAGGATTAATTTTCAGTTCAGAGTAGGGAGAAACATTGTTCTTTGGTAGTGTGGTGAACCCAAACACAAGCTTGCAGCCTGTGCAAGGGAAGGGCTGCTTTTCCTTTTCTAAGAGAGCAAATCTCTTAAAGTGACACTATTGGAGAGGAATTAAATTTTAGGAGTTGCAAAGTGAAAAAATTCCAGTTTGCAATGCTGGCAAGTATGTTCATGACCTTAAAAATTTACAAAATGATAAGCGTGTTTCTGGATCCAAAAGATATTTTATAGTTAGTCATTGCCTGTGTTGTTTATAGTTAGTCATTGCCTATGTTTTTCCCACTTAGGCTTTTGCTTTGGTGCAGCTGGATGGCAAAAGTGAGGAAGTGGGCAAATATGCTGTATCCCTTTTCTTTTCTGGTACACATTGCTTAAACAATAATGTAACAACTCACTCCTTGGTTTCTGTAGTCAAACAGGGGCCATGTGCAACAATCAAAACGCAAGCCACTACCTCCCCTCCCACCCTCTGAGTTTGCTGAAGAGAAGATCCAAGTCAAGGCATTGTATGATTTTCTACCCAGAGAGCCCTGTGATTTGGCATTAAAGAGGGCAGAGGAATACTTGATATTGGAGAAGTATAATCCTCACTGGTGGAAGGCAAGAGACAGTTTTGGGTAAGACTGGTATCTTGACCCTTATCAAATAACTCCTCTTGTATCCTCTAAAGACTTCTGAAGCATAAAGAAGACTATTTAGTGGCTCATGTTCTCCAGGTTTGTAACTCTTCCTTCTGCATGGTATGGGACCTGGCCCCACACCTCCCCATCCGTATGAGAGAGCATTGTAGCACTGTGATTTCAGGCCATGTCTCAGAACTAAACACCTGGCTTCACATCCTCGTGCTTCCACTTACTATTGTTTGTCCTTGGGCAAGTCATTCACTGTTTCCGAGTTTTTGTTTATTTATTTATTATTGGGGTATAATTAACATATAACACTCTGTTAGTTTCAGGTATAAAACATAATGATTCGATATTGTATATATTACCAAATGATCACCACAGTATGGGTAGTTAAGTTCCATCACCACACAGTTACAAAATTTTTTTCTTATGATGAGAACTTTAAGATCTACTCTCTTAGCAACTTCCAAATGTGCAATAAATACAGTGTTATTAACTACAGTGACCATACTGTACATTACATCCCCATGACTTACTTATTTTATAACTGGAAGTTTGTACCTTTTGAGCCCCTTACCTATTTCGCCCACCCTGTATCCTCCATCTCATGCAACCACCAATCTGTAATTCTGGATATATGAGCTTGTTTTGTTTTAATTAAAAAATTTTAGATTCCACATATAAGTGAGATCGTACAATATTTTTCTTTGACTTATTTCCCTTAGTATAATGCTCTCAAGATCTATCCATGTTGTTGTAAATGATAAGATTTCCTTTTTATGGATGAATAATATTCCATTATGTGTGTGTGTGTGTGTGTGTATCTCACATTTGCTTTATCCATTCATCATCCATTGATGGGCACTTAGGTTGTTTCCATACCTTGCCTATTGTAAATAAGGCTGCGATGATCATGGGATCATGGGGGTGCAATTACCTTTTTGAGTCAGTGTTTTTGTTTTCTTTGGATAAATACTCAGAAGTAGAATTGCTGGATCATACAGTAGTTCTATTTTTAATGAGATTTTATTTGTAAAATGGTAATAATAACTTCTACCATGTAACTTCTTATTCTGACTTTTACTTTCCTTGGGAATTTGACCTTTTTTTTTCTCCTTAAGCTCTAAGGTCAGAACAGAAACAGTATCTTCATCATTTTTATATTTTTACAATGAACAATTTTGGAAATAAACATTACAGTGTTTGCTGAATTAAACTGGAAAGAATAAGGGACCTTGGGATGCAAATAGACTTCGTGTCAATTGCAATGCCTGACTGGAGTCCTAAGTGGAGAAGAAATCTGAGGAATATCTGGGCTCCCTGGGAGAGAATGCTGGCACTGATTTCTGTTCTTTGTCAAGAGTTGGAGCTTATAAGCATCTAAGTATTAGAAATATCCACATTGCATGCTTCTTTCTTTAATTATATTTTCCTGGTGATTTGGCTGTCTTACCAGTTCTTACCTTAGACTCCATATGTGATGGTGACTTTTCACTGGAAAAAGAGGTGTTAGTAAGTTCAGGACTGTGTAATTAGTCACTCCTTCAAGTGGCCTGTTGGCTGGACTCTGACTTAAAAAAAAAAAGACACAGATAACTTTTTAACTTCAAAGTTAATAAGTGAATATAGTTTTTACAATATGCAAACATGATAAATTACATGAAAATTCTGCTTTGGCGTACCTCCAAACCAAATTTCTTTCACAAAAATAAGCACCACTATTCAGTGAGGACCTTTCATGCACATACTAAAATATATGTTATTGTTTGCAGATTTAATTTACCTAAACCTTACCATACTTCATACATTGTTCTGCAACTTGCTTTTATTTCTCAATAACATGTCTTGGAGATCTTTCATAATTTTAAATTTCCTTTCATTGGTGAAGGTATAGGAAAAGAGAAACCCCTACTCTGCTGATCGGTGTGTGAATTGGTATATTTCCTTTCAAAGGCAATTTGCTGAATCTACTGAAAGATGCACATATTATGTGATCTAGAAATTTTCCTGTTTGGTATCTGTCATAAAGAAATACTCTTACTTGTGCACAAGAAGGCATGTTCACGTATTTCTTTCCAGCATTGCTGCAACAGGGGAGTGGCTAAGCTAGAATATCTAGTCTCTCTATTCTGCAACAATTAAAAAGAATTAAGCCAATATCTTTGTAATTGCCTTTTAAAAAATATAAATCTAGTAACTGTAGTGTCCCAAAGATCACGTAAGTGCCATTGAAAAGATTTTGGTGTCATAAAGCTCATTATACTATATACAAGTCTGAATCTTAGTATTTGTCATACAGAGATTTTAGTCCAATATAGAAATAAAAGACATTTTTTCTCTTTGAACAGTTTCATGAGCAAAATGAATTTGATTTCCTCCTACATCTTTGAGGTTTTAAAAGGATTGTTTCCAAGATAATGCCACAAATGTGCCAAGCATTTTGATTTTTGCTTTCTCTTTTGTTACAGGAATGAAGGCTTAATCCCAAGCAACTATGTGACTGAAAACAAATTAACCAATTTAGAAATATATGAGTAAGTGTCTTCTAAAATATGCCCTATGGTTAATCTATGAAAATCAGGTATATTTTGGCAGCTTATAAGAATAGGTACTGTTTTTGGTCTATAAAAGGAAAAGAAAGTAACACATTTGGCAGCTTCAGCTTAAGAAATCTTTGATCCTTATAATGGTTGATTCAGAAACTCCGTTTTCTTAAACTTTGTTTTGTTTTGTTTTGTATGGCCACTTTTTTTTAACAACCACATTATGAAACAAAACACTCATCTTGTGCTTGTTTTACTATGTTCTAAAGGGAAAATCATTTTGAAAATGACAATACTTTTTTAACGAGTGGCAAATTGCACCCAATATATATAGCACATTGCTGTATTTTGGTTCATGTTTGGAAATGTTTTAGAAACAGCTGAAAATGAGAAAAAGATTAGTTTGGGAGAATTTTTGGCATGCTTACTAGAGTTCTGCTTAGAAGTCTGTTTTGGTTACAATTATAGATTTGGGAGATGTAGGAGATCCTAGCAATCAGTTTTTTAGCCCCTCATTCTGCAGATCAGAAGCTAAGGTTGAAAGATAAATTTGAAGGTAGAGATTGGCAGAGCTGAGTGTAGTGCTAATCTTTTATAAATTTAGATACGCAGTCTGAGCCCTTGAGTGCCCTCCCCCAACTTAGATTCTCATCTTGCAATTAGTATGTGCTTCCAGCAGGTGGCAGTAAGTGATGTGAGTTGAGACGCTAAGACATGGTTCTCAGAACCAAGCAGCAAACAGAAACTGAATAAAAGCTTCACCTTGGTCTGCCTTGTTTCTAATTTAAGCTCACCTAGAGGCTCAGCATATCCTTTGCCTAAAACAGACCTAATTCTAGAAACATTTATGAATAATGTAGACTTTACTGGAGGGAAGGAGATAGTCACAGGACACATAACTACATAATTTTTCCTTCTCTATTAGCTATTTCTGTTCTTTCTCCCAAATGCTCCCTTAAGCTCTATCATAAGGGGTCTTCTCTTTTCTCAGCTCCTACACTCAGCTTGTCATGCCCCCTCCCTTGACCTGAAAATTCTAGGCTCCACTCACTAAAAAAAAGCCCTTGGGTGGCTGAACCCACCTTCCTTAGAAAACATTCCCACAACTATCCAGTCACTCAAGCTTTCCCCTTTGAGGGTGAGGATGGGGTCTCACCTCTACCCTCAGCTGGAGCTGGAGCTGGAGGACACAAAGAGGTCTCTTTGCAGGACACATCCAGGGAAGTTTTATTTGAAAATCTGTTAAGAAAAGTTAGAAAAATAAGACTTTTTCCTACATCATAGCCCCTGTTCAGCTTTCCCAGGAGATTAAATGAGATAAGAGTGAAGGTACCTAACACAGTGCCTGGTGGTCAGTGAATAGATGCTCACTAACCAGCTGTCTTACTTTCCTTGATTATTAATTAATGTGCTCATTGCTTCCGAGGTTTAGACTGGGCTTGGAATCTGGCTTTAACAATTTGCTTTTACTTAGATATTGGATCATTTGAATTAAACTACTCTGAGGTTAGAATAGTAATATCATTTCTTTGGCCTTGATTTATGTGTCTTTAAAAGTCATCTTTAATGACTCCAGTTAGGGGAAGACTTTACCTTTTCTTGCTGTTTCTTTTAAAAAACTCATTAAAATATAGATGTAATAGTTATCAATACAAATCACCACGATGGGTCAACCACCTATTATGTGCCCAGCACCATTCTAATGACTACATAGAAATCACTGGCCTAGGTTGAAGTAGTGTAGCGTGGGCTTAGATACTGGGAGAAATCTGGATTCAAATTACAGCACCACCCCTAACTAGTGTTTTGGCTCTGGGCAGAGCTACTGAGTGTCTCTAAATCTCTGAAGGATCTGAAAACTGGGGACGATGATACCCATCTCCTACAGTACGTAGTAAATGTTCAATACATTCCAGCAGTTACTACTATTTCCAGAAAGGCACTTACAGTTTGGTCCACCTTGCCTGCTGTTACAGATGTACTTCATGTCTCTTCAGTTCTCTAAGCCACTTGATGTGTTCAGTCTGATGCCCCGAATGTGCTGGGCACTGGAGCTACAACATAGAACACACAGAAGCAGTTGCTGTTCTCAGGAAATTTAGTTTCCTGGAGGAATAGGCACAAAATAATCCCAAATTCACAAATAAATGTGTAATTTGAATTATGGTGTTAAGAAGGGATAGTAGGGGACCACTAGGAGAAATGGGTATAATTTAGATAAGGATATAATGTGGGGGAAGACCTTTTTGAGGATCTGACTTGAGGCCTAATGGTGTTAGGAAGTAGGCAGGGGCAGATGGGGGAAGACATGCCATGTTGGTGTGGGCTTCTGGCATCTCAGGAGAATCATCATATGTAGAAATATTTATGGCCACCTTGGTTTTAAATTAATATCCAAATTAACAACATTACAATGTAAAAACCTAATTTTCAGTAAGCCTTCAATTTTAACTTGTAAATCTTGATACACTATTTCTAAATCTAAGGAAATAAGAATAATTATCTTCAAATTCAATGTATGAAATGTCCTTAAACAATCAGTTCTATTTTCAAGCTCAGTTAATTAGATTTCCTGAGACATTTAGCATGCATTAATAAACTGAATAAATTCAATTTCCTGTTTAAATATTTCGCATGCCTGACAGGGCTAATTTGTAATTTCAATAGCCTTACATGATCTTGGAAATCTAATGAATTAAACTTTTAAATGTGGTAAGTCAAGTTCTCTTAACCATACAAGTACCATTTTAAAAATTAGTGAAATTGTCTTTAACTTCAAATAATTAGTTTAAAATTAATCATACATTTTAAATCAGAGGGAAAAACCTAATATGCCTGATTCTTTTAAAAGTATAGGTATTTTGAGTATCAGACATATGGCTTGTCCTGAACTTTCCAGAAGTATGAGTCTATCTCATTATCTCCACATTGAATGCTTAATCTTCTTAGGGGTAGAAAGTCAATAAGAGAAGCAGATTCACCTTCTCAGATCAAATAGGGTTTCTAGGTCAAAAATTAAAGGCTTCAATACTGTTACTTATTGATTAGAAATCTAATACTGGGACATGAACCACAGGCTTACGTGTATAAAAACATGTTTGTATTCAGCCACAGCTGGACATAATGGATTAAAAAAAATATGTCAGTAGAAGCCCTGTGCCAAGTCATCTGTCCACATCATTTAGTATTAGTTTCATAATAAGTGTTGTCTAGGTATAAGAGTTGCAGCCTTACTTATTTTTTAAAAATTGTTCTAACTTTTATCATCTGATCTCAATACATTCTGAAATACCTCAACCTCCCCTAAATTGCATTCATCCCATCTCTTTCCTGCCTGGTGGAATTCTGCATTATTTTAAAGGATCTTAAATTAATCATATATTTCTATCTGGCTCTTCCATTGCTACTTTGAAGTCATTCTAATGACATGGATGAATTTTTAATTTATATTTAAGCAAAATTAATATATTTACTTACATTGTTTATCAGGATAATAAATAAGTACAAAGCAACAAAATTAATAGCAGCATAATAGCAGTTAAAAAACATTATTTAGAAAAAAAAACAATTTATGTTAACTTTTCCCTCTTCGAGTATCATTATGCAGGCTTGGTTTTCACAGCTTCGGTACATTTTAGTGAGCTATAATGTTATTCTTTTAGCACCTAAATTTCACAACTTAGCCAGTGTGAGCCCTTTAAACTGGTTCCCTGTGTTTTTAATTCTGCCTCATTTTCTGTGAAAGAATTTCTTCCTATAAGAGGTCTCAGATTCATCTTGATGTTGTCTTCCCATATATGAGTATTCATTAAAAGTACTGAATGAATGATTCACAGTGTAACATCCACAGTTAGTCTTGTTTTCACTAGTGATAAGTAGTTAAATTACTTTGTCTAGAATCATCTGTAATCATCCCCTATTTTCTATGTTTCATCTTTTTGAAAGTTCATTTTCAGTTTGAGGGCATTAGTATTTTTAAGACCTGACCATTTTAATTGAGTGGTAGCTTGACACTACTGAAGGTTAGGGGAAGCCCACATGATGAGAAAGTTTCCACCCTCAAAGTCAGGTACCACAGTTGTGTTTAACCACCATTTGGCCCACGCACTGTGACTCAACGTATGGCCAGATAAGCATTCTTTCTGCACTGTCCCCCAAAATAGTGTCTCTGGTAATATTAGCTTAACTCCCTTAAAAAATCTTGTTTTGAAATGAAATCTTGCCATTTTTTCTTTCTCTCCCCTTTACCATTTCCTTTCTCTTTCCTGTACATTTGCTTACTGATTAGGTATTGTCATACCAAACTATAAGTTTAAATTATACTATTATTTAATTATGTTTACTGTGTGTAGTTCTGATATACTAAAGTCAGTTAATGGCATTTCGTGCAGAGGAAACAGCAAGATCAGAGGCAGAAAAGGGCTTGGTGAATTTGCAGGAGAGACTCCCAGTGTGGCCAAAGCTTAGGGAGGGGAGGGTGGAGAAACGTGAGGCTGAGAGGGTGTTTGGAGCAGGGCATGTATTGGTTGTTCCAAATTATTCAACTAAATTTCTTCTATTTATCCTACTAAATTACTTGTTTAGTAATTTCTATTTATTCTACTAAATTATTAATTTCACTACAAGTTAACCTACTTAGGATAGTCAAGCAAATTAGAGTGAGTTTTAATTTTGGAATGGTAACATAGCACATATAAAAGCATGCAAATGGGAAGTTCCTGAGATGAAAGGAAGAAATAAGTGTTTTTTAGTTTGTTTACTGAAGCTCAATAAATATTTATTGGAGATGATGACCTCTTAACCACATACTTTCCATGGAAATTTTCAGGAGGTTAAATCATTCAAAATTATATACTAAATGTGTATCAGAAAATTGAATCAAGATATGAAGCTTACAATTAATAAAACTGTATTAAACTAAATTGACTGACATATTAGTATCATTATATTACTGTTTATCTGAATTTAAAAACACTCAACTTGTAAAGTCAGTTCTGGAGTAAGTTCTTAAAAATGAAGGAAACAAAGCATGTTTTTTTTTGAGGGGGGAAATAAAATATAAAATTTTAAAATTATCTTTATTGCTTTTACAGGTGGTACCACAGAAACATTACTAGAAATCAGGCAGAACATCTTTTGAGACAAGAGGTAATTCAATTTATTTATAAATAAATTGTGACTATTTGCACTATTCTGAGAGTACATTACAAAGACTTTACCCAACTAAAAAGTTTTATTACATCTTATTCTCTGTAGTTTTACAGTGTTATTACAACTTCATCTGTACTGTACCTTTTCTGATAAGTTGTAAACCAGATATATTTGTATCAGAGCATGTTTTCCATTGACTTTATCGTAATTTCAGAAATGTGTTTCTCATGATATGCTTTCAACTCCAACATACTGAAACGCCTTCATTCACTTCAAAGTGGATTCTGCCAATAGAGTCTGTATTTGAGTTACCCATAGACCTTTGCATCAAAGGCAATCAAATATACACTCTATCTTCATGAGTTTGGCTAAGGCTCCTTAGAAACGCAAATACAGAAAAACACATGGTGCTGCACTTTGTTCTTTAGGAACAAAGGAAAGAATAGGGTAGCCAAAATATCAAATTCAGTTCAAAACTGCTCATTTAGGTCAAACAAAACAAAACTGCATAGAGCTGAAATTTCCAACTGACGGTAAATATTGACTGTAGGTAAATGTAGAGTCAAAACTAGAAACTAGGTAATAGGTTGTGTGTCACTATGTACTGCTGTCGGATGTTGAGGAAATCTAGAAATGTGAATGAAAGAATCCATTCTGTAACTAAAAAGTCAATGCCAGTAATGGCTCAGAACACAGGCAAAAGGCCCAGTTAATAGCTGGGAGATACGCAGAGTCTGAGGGACACAGACCTAGCCTCTGGTGGCTGTGGGGATGGAGGTGGGAGGTCAGGCCTGGCTTCACTGGTTAGGAGGAAATGCAATGTGGCAGCAAATGTGGACTCTGTCTAGCAAGGTGACGTCAGGGGGCCTTCTGCAAATTGGTATTAGTAGGCCCAGAATGGACAAAGATGTTGTAACAGGCAAGCACAACTGGAGAAAGAAAGTCCAAAAGTAGGTCCATGGTACCAAGTTGGTCACATGTCAATATTCCCAAATTCACTGGGCTATGCAGGATCAGCATCTGAGAGGAATCTTGACAGGGCGAGGGTCTGACTTCCACAAAGGCCAGAACGGAGTTATGTAAAGCCCCCCACCCCATACCCACCACCCAGATATCACAAATAGTAACATTTGGCCATAACATTCTTTAACAAAATAAAAAACTACAGATGCAGTTGAAGCTCAACCCATCCTCATCGTTTTTGTCCTCTTCCCAGAGGCAATCACAATAGAAGGGTGTGTTCTCATTTTTCCTATGCATTTATATTTTTCTTATGTATGTGCATAAACAACCTATAGTGTTATTTTATGTGTTAACATTTGACATAAAGGAAATCTTATGTATGTTGATTTAAAAATTAAACATTATATTTCAATTTCATTTATATAGGTACAGTTGGATCAAACTCATTGCTTTAACTGCTGTGTAGTATGTCATTATATGAGTGTACCAAAACACATCCGTTGCACTAACTTCTTATTACAAACTGCTCTGCAAAGAACTTCCTGTTTTTACATGTTGTCTTGTACACAAGGGCAAGGGTATCTTCCAATTATACCCAGAAATGGAATGATCTGGTCAGAGGGTATGGGCAGATTTAACCAGATAATTTCAAATGATGATTCCAAAGTACTTGTACGAATGTATGCTCTCACAGGGAATGATAAAACTGGCTCCTTACATTCTTACCAACACTTGGCAGTTTCACACTTTTTTTCAGTTCATTGAGTGAGAAATTGTATTTGTTTTAAAATGTGATTCTTTGATAAACAGTTCGATTGAGTGTGGGTGTCTGGTAGTGGGCTGGGTTTCCTCTGCTGTTACAAGCCTGCTGATAATCCTGTGCTCATTTTTCTATAGTGTGTTTGCTTTTTTTAACTGATTAATATAGATTTAAAAAATATATTCTGCATACCAATCTTTTATCAGTTATATATTACAACTATATTCTTCTGGTTTCTGGCTTCTAAAAAACTTGAAGCTATTTCCTTTATACAGAATTTTTAAAAATGTTTATGTTGAATTTCTCAATATTTTTCATTATGATCCTATGCTTTTTTTTTAGTAGGAGAAATTCTTCTCTCTCCCGAAGTTAATATTTTTCTTATATTTCTTAAAATATTTTTTAAATTTGCATACTTCTAAAAATGAGCCTAGGCTAAATCCTACTTGTTCATGTGTCATTTAAAGTATATATTGCTGGTTTGGGCTTCCTAATATTATATTTAACGTTTGTCCTGTTACGTTCACAAGTAAGCCTGACTTTGGTGTTAGTGTAAAGGTTATCTGAACGTTATAAAATGAATTGAGGTAAGCGGTTTTGTCTCTTTTTCCAATCTCTGGAATAGTTTATATCAGATAGAAGGTATTTGCTCCTTGATGGTTAGATGTATATCTCATAAAAAGTCTGGACATGCTGCTCTTTTAAACAGTTTGATATTTGACTATTGACTTAATTTTCTTTTCTTTTTGAGGTGTTTGGTAATTTATATTTACTCAGAGAATTGCTGATTTAATATTTATTTTCAAATTTATTGCATACATTTCACAGAAGCACCTTATAATTTCTATGTGTTTCATATTTCCAAAGTCAGTATGTTCATATGGTTTAAAATCAAAACGTTTTGAAAAAAATTTTTTTCGTCCTTGTCCATAAGTCACCAATACCCCTCTCCACAGATAAACTACTATTGTTAGTTTATTTCCTGTCCTTTCAGAGAGATTTAACACATACACAAATGAGTATAGTTTCTCATATTGTTCTTTTTCACAAATGATAACAAAATATATATGCTCTTCTGTACTTTTTTTTTTCTCACTTACCAGTATATATTGGGCATCATTTCACATCAGAACACAGAAAGTGTCCTCATTTATTTTACATCTGCATAGTATTTTTTAGTTGGGATGTATTGCAATTTATGTAACCAATCCTTTATTGTGAAAATTTAAGTTGTACTATATACCCTCCTTTGCTATTAAAACACTACCGCCACAGGTAATTTGCACATACATCCTTTCCCATTTACATGAATATATTTGTAGGATAAATCCCCAAAGGTGAAAATTCTGGGTCAAAAGGCGTATACCTTTCTAGTGTTAATAGCTATTAAAATGCCTTCTATAGGAATTGTATCAATTTTTTCAGCGAGTGTTTGTATGAAACATTTGGAACCTTGCTCTCTGCTGTCTCATCTCAGTGTGGGTTTAACCGACATTTCTCTTGTTCTGGGAATATTAAACTCTTTTTATGTGTTAAACTTTATGTATTTGCATTTCCTTTTCTGTGAGCTATCTGTTCATATCCTTTGCAAAATTTTCAATTGGAATTTTTTACGTTTTCTCACAATTTGTAGAACCTATGTAGCTATATTAAGGAAATTCACTCTTTGATATATGGCAATACTTTTTCTCAATTTTTCAGTTGTCTCATTATCTTTTTGCCATTGGTAAATAATACTTGAATTTTATATGTTTGAGGTTAGACAAATTTTTATAAGGCTTTATCATGTGCATCAGGTTAGAATTGCCTTACCTTCTACAAGGTTGTAAAATTTTTCCCATGTTTCTTAGTTACATTGGTGATTTTTTTTTACATATGCATGTTTGATTAATTTGTAATTTTTCCTGATGTCAACAGTGAGGTATGGATCTGAATGAATTTTTTTCTAGATGGTTACCAAGCATCTACCTTTTCTGCATTGATTTGAGATGCCACTTTTTTCAAAAACACAATTCCTGTGTTTGGACTATATATGGACTTTCTACTTAAGTTTCATTGATCAGCTTGAAGTATTCACAAACTGCCTTTATATTGTTTTAAATACTGAGGCTTTCTCTTATGTGGCTAGCCTCCCTAATTATTCTTTTCTGAAATATTCTAAATATATATTTTGTATATATGAACTTCAGAATCACTTTGCCTTGTTTAAAAAAAACTTCCTGTTAGTTACATAAAATTTATGGAGTAACTTAGGAAAAATTGTTCAGGCATTACAAATCAATGGGGTTTCAGGATCGATTTGTTCTGGGACCCGTACATGTATTAATTACTCATGTACAAAAAATTAAAATTAGATGTCTACCTCAAACAAAAATAAATCTTAGGTAGATTAAAAATGTAATGAGAATAGCAAACACTTGTGTGTTCTTCAGGAGCAAAGTTTTCTCCATATAGCTCTTTTTATTCTATTTATTAATTTAAAATTAATATTTTAAATTATTTATTTTCAAGTGTATTTTATCTATTTATAATAAATTATTATTTATTTTCAAGTATTTATAAAGCACATTTATTTTCAAGTGTATTTTAGGGCATTTTACCTTTTTTGTTGCTATTATAAATGGTTGTATCTTATTTTTATTGATGAAAGCTCTCAATTTTGTGACTGATGATTGGCAAATTCAGATATTTTTTGTAGTAATTTTTCAGTTGATTCCCTTGTTTAAATTTTTTGTAGTAATTTTTCAGTTGATTCCCTTGGGTTTCAGGTACAGAATCTTGTCAGCAGCAAACAGTGATGATTTCTGCTCCTCTTTTAAAATTGATTACAGTATTTTAACTTTTTGCCTCAATTGCATGGACAAGTATCTCAGAACTGTATTACATACTAGTGCTGACAGTGGGCATTTCTTTTTCCTGATTTTAGTTGGAATGATTTCCACATAAAGCATAATGCTGGACTTGGGACTAAAGTAAATAGGGCTTTGTATGAAGGAAGTACACATATATTCCTATTTTATCAAGAATTAAGAAAAGAGATGTTTCCCTTTTCACCAGCATAAGCACACTTGGGAAAGCTGAAACTTTGTATAATATCAAACATATCAACGAAACAGAACAACCCACCATTCAAGCTTAATTTGAAGGCAATTCACAGCATTATTGGAGTTTCCCAAAGAATGGTAAACGGGGATCCAATTCATAATCTAACATCAAACTTATGATATTCTTCCCTCCTGACATTTTTCTTAATGCCTCTCCTGTACCCCTGCAGCAACGAAAATGGCTCTTCTTGCTCTTTTCTCCAGCCTCCCTCAGATCTTGTCTCTCTCCATCCTTACCATGAACTCTCATCTTTTCCTGCTCCCTACCTTTCCAGGTGGATTTCTCTCTGCTCCCTCACCCCCCACCTGCATACTATTTCTTTTCTTCCAAAGTATAATTCTGTCAGTCTGTGTCAGAGTTCTTCCTATTCATTGGCTATTTTTATCTATTATCTTGATCAGTAAAACAAAATAACTAAATGGTGGGGTGCAAGGTTGCCAAGTGCAGAGTTTTTTCTTGGAAAAATCAGGGGCAAAGTTTTTAAATACCCATACATTACAAATCCTTGTACCAATTATATTTTATTTTATAGTGATGACTTCTAAACCTGTAATGGAGATAAGATTATGTGTACTTGTAAAAACAGTCTCATCCCTTTATAGTAAATCATTATGGTTTGGTTGTCATTACTGAGATGTAGGTGTGTCTTTCTTCCTAATAAGGAATAAACTTGTACAATGAATGAATTGTTTTGCAGTCTAAAGAAGGTGCTTTTATTGTCAGAGATTCAAGACATCTGGGATCCTATACAATTTCTGTGTTTGTAAGAGCAAGAAGGTGAGCAATTGTGATTTTGATCACTTTAGAAATACCAGTCCCTGGGAAGTCTTTTTTATGGAGATACCACTACATAGAGAATGTAAGCAGGAACCAGCGTAGAAAATTGCTCGCCTGGAAGTTAGGACAACTAAAGGGTTCAAGTTGTGTCCCTAACACACTCAGTGTATGACAGTGGATAAGTTACTTAACCTCTCAGATCTCTATTCCTGACCCATTAAGGGAGGAGGTTAGATTAGCTGTAGCACATGTAGGGGTGCTCTCCTGGTATCCCTTCCTTTACCCTAGAGTTTGCCTGCAGAGAGTTCTGCACTCAGAAAGTTGCCCATGTCTTTCTGCCTGAGGATGCTTTCTGGCTGTGGGAACTCATGGTCCCTATGGATAGACTGGAAGTGCCTGGGAACTAGCATCCTAGGAGCAACACTCCATCAATGAGGAGTGGAGGAAGGCCCCTCAGCTCCTCTGCACTTTAGTGGGACAGTTCCAAGGTGTGTTCCACAGTCTGTCTTAGCTTCCTAGTGGGATTGACCATCGTCACCCACAGCAAACCAGCTAGCTCATCATTACACCCTGTTTTGGTTTTCCCCCCTTCTTTGCCTCAAATCTCTTCACATCTCTCAGAGTGCATTTATTTGTTCATTGAACTGATACCTGATATTCAATAGTACTTATAAATATCTATTATGAGCTCCAGTTCTATGGACACTAGACTTGTCACCTAGACAACTTTGGCTGAAGTTATGTTTGAATCTAAGGTCCTAATAAGATAGTGGAGGAATTCTCCTGGGATGGTGAGGCACCTGTTTAATCCAGTCTGCTCTTCAGTGTAGTCTTGCTCGGATAAAACTTTTAGAGGTGGAGTGCTGTTGCTTAGTCAGCTGACTTAATTCCAAAGTAATTTTTTTTTCTTGTTTACTAATTCACAGTTTCTTGATTGCAGAAGTATGGAGGCTACCATCAAACATTATCAGATTAAAATAAATGACTCTGGCCAGTGGTATGTGGCTGAAAGACACTACTTTGCATCAATCCCTGAGTTGATCTGGTATCACCAACACAATGCAGCTGGTAAGTCAGGAGCTTCCATCTGGGAGAGTCTGCGAACCAGGCCCTGGGTGGGCAATGCATCTTTCGTCTCAGACACTTAACAGGAGCAAATATCTCTGTAGAAATGTTTAAGAGTTTGAAATATTACCTTCTTTTGAGTAGTTCACCTCCTAATTGATATTTCTTTGTTTTTCTAGTTCAGGGGCAAGATGTAGGTTGATATTTTTACATTTATGTTAAAAAAATGATAGATGACAAAGCAGCAAAAGGCCATTAAGTCACTATGCATTTGTTCTGGAAAATTTCATAGGGCTAGCTGTAATGGGATTTCAAATATCCTAAATAGTCATGCTTTCTTCTCCTTGTCGCTATAAATTTGCTTTCTATTTTAGGCAATTGTAATAGAAAATTACCCTTAGATCTCTCATTCTCTGTTCTTTCCCATTTGGAGAACACATAAGGCTATACAGGACACAGCCTTTCACAGTTACAATTTGACTTATATTTCAGAGGCATATTTTTTTTTAAATTTTGTTATCATTAATCTACAATTACATGAAGAACATTAGGTTTACTAGGGTCCCCCCTTCACCAAGTCCCCCCCACAAACCCCATTACAGTCACTGTCCATCAGCATAGTAAAATGTTGTAGAATCACTACTTGTCTTCTCTGTGTTGCACAGCCCTCCCCATTCCTCCCCCCCTACACTATACATGCTAATTGTAATGCCCCCCCTTCTTTTTCCCCACCCATATTTCTCCCTTCCCTCCCATTCTCTCCAGTCCCTTTCCCTTTGGTAACTGTTAGTCCATTCTTGGGTTCTGTGATTCTGCTGTTGTTTTGTTCCCTCAGTTTTTTCTTTTTTCTTATACTCCACATATGAGTGAAATCATTTGGTACTTGTCTTTCTCCACTTGGCTTATTTCACTGAGCATAATACCCTCTAG